CCATCCCTCAGGGGTGAGAAGGTGCCTGGGACTAACGTTATTCTTCCAATCTCTATCACAACTGTGGCACTGCAAAAAGCAACAGCAGCACAGCCCAAGACACAGCTTCACATCAGCACACATGCATCAATCCTGGGTAACTGTGTCAGTGAGAAATCAGAAAAGCATGATTTCTGAACCATCTTGTCACAGGAAGCTCACTTTTCATTACGATGAACCTGAATGAGCTTTTCCCATTCCCTAATTAACCTCCTTCCAGTCAGAAGCGGATAAACTCTAATTGTATCAGGTAGCCCTATTTAGGAGTGAGGCATGTCAGCACATGATTTAAGCCTATGAAAATTATAATTCTACAGCAGATAAGCAGGACAAGATAGACAGCCCAAGCAAAACTGAGCATGCATGCCTTCAGATTACTGGATATATTTCCAGTTATTTAAACCGAGTTCTACTATTTGATCCACGTCGCATGATTCCTGTAAAATACGCACAGCAGTTACTACTATTGCTTAACGTCTCCATCATGAGAAAAAGAGCAATCTGAAAGCAAAGATTAGACTCAACAAAAAGCACAATGAAGTTAACTGGTATTTCCAAAGGTGCCCGAGTCAAGTCTTTTAAGCACCTCTGAAATTTCCAACTGATTAGAGGGGGTAAATAAACGGTCTGCAAAAATCTCTTGGTCCCGGTACAGGCAGGAAACAACCTGCTTCAGTTCCAGAATTGCTGAGTTTTACTTGATAATCTGCTCCAGACAGGCATATCCTGCAATCCCTGGCCATATAAACACATACTGAACTCACACAGACTTCTGGTATGTTGCATACATAAATTCCTTGTGGGAAAGGATTTCCATTTCTCTAGGATGCCTTGCAAACAGCAAGAATAGAAGCTTTTTTTTTTTTTTTTTTTAAGTTTGTGTTAAAACTAAAACCACACAAACACCAAGCCCCCCAGCCTATATAACTGCATAGAAACAAATCTGGCTTTATTAGATTACAGGCAGCAGAAAGTAAAAGAAAATGGATTGCTGGCTCCCTGCTGCATGCTTGAGTTCACAGACTCCCCAGCACTTGCTGAATGCATGCTATATATACATTGGAGCCCAAGGGGAAGGGGAGAGGTGCACATGCCACACATGGTTACACTGATATAAAAGATGCTGCTAGAATTTTGTTTGTTTTAAGCAGGGCAGATTTTCCAAAAAAGTTTCCTGGACGAGCTCCTTGCACTGACAACACAGCACCCAGGCCATTAGACATCATGTGGTGAACCAGTGACAGTGACCACAAGCATTTCATCTACATAAGGTCTGAAAATAAAGTGCTAGGGAACACTAGACTTCTCATAAACAGTCACCCCTAAAGCAGACTTAGGAAAAATCGTTAGGTAAAAAAAGAAAAAAGTCCAACAAAGTGACTCTATAGAAAGCAGACATTCTCCCCCCTCCTCAAAGCACCTTTGACTCACAGATGCAAAGGGAACAGAGATGCATTTGCCACAACACAGTCCCAGGTTCAATGGAAGCTATTATAGTCACCGATTTCTTTGTCAGAGCATCCCGAGTGCTGTTCAACAACCAACGACTTCTAAGGTCTGCTGTACAAGAGCAAGAAAAGGCTATTTAAAGATTTTAAAAGGAGACAGGAAACCATGCTGGGTTTATGTTTTTACGTTTACACTGTGGAAGAGCACAGTGACAAAATGGAGAAGACAAATAATGAAAAAGCCATGGTAAAATATATATATAAAATATATATAAACAAAAAAGTTATATAAACCTGAAATATTTATATATAATGTCATAGTCATAGAATACATAATATATGTTATGTTATAAACATCATTCTGGCTTATTATGCAAAAGGTAATAACCAGAAAAGTAAGCTGGAAGACTACAAATGCAGTGTCATCAGCCAGTTGGTACCACCTTTGCCTACTTTATCTTGCCATAATTTATGGAATCCTGTTATTCCTGAATGTGGTGGGTATAAATGCACCAGCAGC